ACGCCAGTCAGATGAGTCAGAAAGGCAGTCCATCCGCTAATCGCTTGGTCCGATTTTGAATGCCTGTATACACTTTGCTTGCCTTAAAAACGCTGTACTAAGTACGTTAATAGACTTCCGTTCCAATAAGGCGTAATTGGACGTCGAACATATAGGGTAATGATAAGAGTATGACAGGAAAAGGCGGACGTCACGCAAAGGTTTTACAAGAGCGTAGACCATTGGCAATGACATTTAAAGTTTTTAGCGCATATTAGATTCTAAATATATCTTTCGAGATAGTACCTGTTGAGAGTGATTAAGCGACTGATCACTGAGCAACAGAAGGCACGTGTCGAAGAAGTTATACCTCCTTAATTCCTACAAGTAAAGAAAGCGAAAACATGTTAGAACAAATATTCCTCGAGTTGAAGGCCGATATTAAGAGAGGTAAGTGAAAATATCCTCACTTGTGGAGCAAAAAGAATAACACGCTCCAGAAGTTCAACAGCAGCATTCTTGATGGACGAATCGCAGGAGCTATCCGCAACAAGCGGTTGTATCTTTAGCGGCCAGACCTTAGACAACTTTTCGCATAATTTTGACAGAAAGCTAAAACAGAGGGATAAGACAGAACGCGAGCTTTGAATAAAAGGATGAGGGAAAAAGCTGTGAATGTTTCGACGTCGGGCAGCTCAAGCAAAAATGATAAAAGTTTTTTAACGGGGACGAAACTGGTACCTCGAAGGTCTCGGTGTGTCCTGCTTGCTTGTGCTCGTGCCGAGGCGCTCAATCAGTTCCGTAACCAGTTCAAGGGCGCTTCTGGGCGACTTGCTGAAGAGCGACGGACCGGGTGAAGTGTCAGGGTCAGCTGACAGTCCAATGAATAGCAGGAGATGTGGTGGCAGAGGTTGACGGCTGTCAGCGCCCCCCGCAATGAACGGGGCAACTCTGAAAATCCATCTGACCGTTTCCTCGCTAAACTCATCCTTTGGAGCAAAAGTGAACAGAGCCAACCTTTGAAGACCGAGAAGCAGCAATAAAACAATCGGTTTTTCAATTGCCGGAAAAAGTAGCTTATGAACGCCCACTCATATAAC